CACTTTGTTGACAATTCTAATTCTGGAAGTGTTCCGGGAAAATTATTTCATTAAAATAAAAATTGGCATAATTGGAAATAAATTGTCATTATATTCGTTTTAATGTCATTTGAGAGTAAAAATGTTGCTTCTGTTCAAATAGGGAAAAAATAACTTAATTGGTGATTTTAATGAATCGTTTTAAAATAAGTTGGATTTCATAAAGCAAACTTAAATGTTCTCTTTACAAACCAGGTATCCCACGATAGCTTAAATTTTAATTGATTCCAAAAGTATTAAAAGGATAAGTACGCTTTATATATAAATATATTTTATGTTGATGGCAATTAAGCGTACGGATGGCTAGATGTTAAACCGTGACAATAGCTTTTAGACGCCTGCGGTACCCACGCTATAACATATCCATTAATGACACTTCAAATACCCATTCACTTCTCTCTTTATGAATTCCACACTGTTTACTTTAGGAAAAAATCTCCTCATCAAAGAATCTTCTGTGTGTGTGTGATCATTGAGGTACAAAGGTGTAAGACGTCATTGAAAGCATTTTCAACGTATTGGATGTCTTATTGTAAAAAAAGTGATGTGAAAATAACATCTTTAAAATAGACAATATATTTAAAAAGACTGAAAAATAACAGTAACAATTCTACACACAATATTTTTATTTTAATGAATATTAACTTAAAATGTTAGTTTTTTGGACATATTCTCTGGACATTTTGAAACAAAAGATACAATTTGTTCTGAAATGTGCCAAAAAAGAGTCCCAATTAAAATTCTATTGGATTTAAAACATTGCTCCAAAGCACTTTTGTTTTTGCTACAAAATCTGTTTTATTTATTTTAGGTGATGGCAAAAAATCTTTTATAGGAATTGGATTGAGTTGTAACATTTTTTGTAAGTAATTTAATCTCATAATTTCATTTCGATCCTCAACTATCTAAATGCCTGGTGAAGGAAATCAGTAATCGGTCATCAGTCATCTGGATATGGTTTCTATTAATAAACTCATTAATTATGATATAAAAATTACATTACTCTGACGTCTACTTCAGTGATATCACTCAACACGTTAAAACAAAATTATATATAAAGATGGCAACCCTCCAAAAATACTTATAAAGATCGATATATAATAAACATCATAAAAGATGTTAAATTATAGGAAATCATCTTTGTCGTAGGCTTCAGAAATAAACATGGAAAGGCAGAAAACAAAATACATACGCACATATCATCTAAAAATAAGAAAATGGTCCACAGAAGCAAATAAATGTTTAATTTTGTTTATAATAAATATTTTCTATAAAGTTACTTAAATTTTTTTCACTCGATCGTACAGTAGTTATATGTAAATATAATACCATATATTCATTCAACATAACGAAACATGTGATGTCATCATTTTAATATATATTCGAACCAGTATTTTCCTCAATATTTGTTGGTTGTATTGATCCAATTTTCTCAAAACTCAAACGGAGCACAGTGGGCTTTGGATCGAGATTCAGGAAATTGAAAAACATAAAAAGTAGGTCTTGTCAAAAGCACTGAAAATTATTTTCGTTTTGTGCGCCGTTGTAATTAAAACTTACTCCTATGTATAACCTCTCCGTGGAAGAGAAATAGACTATGAATATAGTTTATCAGCTTTGTGGAAAGAGACAATAAAATATATGTTCAAGGACGACTTATTTAAAATTTAATTAAAATATCAATAATTAATTACTCATAAAATTCTCATTTGAAAAAGGACATTATGATGGGAAAAGTCGCCGGTAGAAGAGGTGTCAGTCGTAGAAGAAAGTCATGGCTACGAAACATCAGAGAGTGGACTGGAATTGCGAGTGCTGAAAATCTTTTCCACCTCGCAAGAGACAGAAAAAAGTATGCGGAGCTGACTGGCACCCTTCGCTAGTCGGAGAGGCATCTTAAGAAGAAGAAGTTAAAAAAGGACAATAAATTCCTCTCGATATAGTTAAATTTTTGATTGCCATAATGCTTCCATTATATCTAGTCAAAGAAAGTCGGTAAATTTAATATCAAACAGTGTATTAACAAATATGGCTATATTTAAATGAATATCACGCAGTTTTCGTTTATGAAATAATTTACAAACGCTTTACTTTCTACTTCGTTAAAATACACAACAGTAAATAATGAAAAGTATGAATGTATATTATAGGATATGACTCGCTTTAAAAAATACGTTCACGTCTCATGTTAAAAGCTTGTAACTTCACTTTTTAACTTTACTGGCCTTGTTCTTAGGGCTTAACACGAAACCTTTTATATAGCTGAATTATACAATAATGAACATGAAAGAGATTATTTGTTGTGTAAAAAAATGAAATGAAATTAATAAGTTAAATTAAATAGTTTTAGTATCATTAGGGTTATACTCAATACTATCAGTATCATCGTGAATAAATGGATATAAAAAATTTACAGGTGGTATATACTCGGGACTTAGTTACTGTCTTGGCAATCATTTGACGTGAAAACGGTTTTTATCACACGCTTATAAAACATAAATTTAGTATTTGTACTCAAAATAAATAAGAAGTTTTAAATCCTTTCAATTTTTCAGACTCTTTTCCATAATATTAATAAAAATTATTTTGAAGACACTTTTACAGACATATTTCATACCTAAGTATTTATTTTATGTATTCTGATAACTAAAAATTTTAAAGCTATAAAATTGCTATTATAAATGTCTTTCTATTATATTAAATTTGTAGATTTATTTTTAAAAATACATATATTTAGTATATATTTATTAGTTATCCATATATTAAAGAAATTCAATCATCAATAAAGTTGTATTTGTCCGAACTATACATTTAAGTCATTATTAAATAAGATGCAAAAGAAACTGTGTGTAAAAATTAAAGCGCTACTTATAATAGTGTTGCTTCTTTAAGGTTATGAGATCTATATCAATACTCATATTTTTCAAAATTACTTCCGAATATGGTTTGATTATGAAGAAATAAAAGTATTCGCTCGTGCCCTTGAGACATCAAAAAAACCTATTATTAGATTATAAATTCATCATCGAACTTTAATATATAACGGGTTAGTAAAATGTTAATAGTGTTTTATTTTATTACAAAGAAAAGATGATCAGGAAAAGTGAGAAGAATTTGTGAAATTTTAAAGTTTATTAAATTGTTGTCGGAATTTTTTAATGTTAACGGAAAGGAGTCGTTTATTACATTTTTAGATTACATGAACTATAATAATATTCTTTTTTGTTACATTTGAACTGTCACATATTTATTGTATCTCTCATAATTGCTAATCACGTGACGAAGTTTGGCTGCCTAGTTTTAGCGATTTCTTAAAGATCGAATGTGACACTTCTTATTATATAAAAAGTAATAATTTTCGTTTTAACTTTCCTATTATAAAATGGAAGAAAATAATATTCTTTTCATTATATGGGAGCAAAATAAAGACGATAATTAAATATCCTTGTCACGTTTTTTCCGTTTTTAGTTGACCGTATTACGAAATTAAATTGAACAAAGTGAAAATTATTTTCACTCCAATATGCCGATGTACTAAATTATTTTATACTTTATTTTGAATTTTCCTGAACTAAAAAATGCATATTAATGTTATTATTATTCATAAATTATATTATGATAAGTTTCATTAAAGTTCAAAACTTTATTTTTAATAGGAATTACTGTATCTAAAGTGTCTATAGTAAGTAATGATATAATACTTTCTGCATTTTAATTTTTATATTATTTAAAGAAACTTGCCCCTTATTATGATTGTTTCCTTCTTCTATAATGGCGTAGGTTGACGGGCAATAGGAAAATAATTGACATTTGTCGTATAGGTTACCGACGTTATAATTCAAATTATTAATTAGCACATACTACAATAACTACACTCAATAACCATGGATCAATTACAACGTTCGTATTCAGTATTAATCGAAATCACACGACGTTCCGCGGACAACGTGGTGTATGCTTCACACAGCGGATCAATTTGCCGATCTTAGTCTCAAACATCCAGTTCTCCGAGTTACGTCAAGCGGACCGTCACTTCTTTTCGTTAATGGCGTTCGCTTTTACTAAATAGGTCCTATTATCTATCGTAAAAATAATCAATTTAATTTCTAAAGTCACAAATGCGCCGTCATATTTATATCGGAATTCATCCGTTACTTACATTACTTGGAATTTAAAGTATTTGCCGAATAAGTGACTGAGGTCATGTGAACTAAAAGTCTTCTTTTTTGTGAATATACTATAGAATGTACATGTTCAAAGCAACTTGAATAGATTCACCTGAATATTTGTGTTTCATGAAGGAATAACATGGATTATGAGAAAATATCTGTTTATTTAAGTTTATACTAAAATAAAGAGAAGCAGCTTGTTAAGTAAAATTAAGTTTGAAAAAGAATGTCACGTTAATTAAAAACGTTTGTAGTATTGGTAATAAAATCTTAATTAATGAAAGGTTTAAATTGAGGCACGACTATCGATAATTTTTGAGGCAATATACTTTATTTATTTATGTAATAGTTTAACTTTTTCTTTTATAGGACAAATAGATATAAAAAAAAGTTTAAAAAAAACATAAAATCATGATTGTTCATTTTATTTTAAATGACAGCGTATTTCATTTAAAGACGAAACTTCTCAGCATTCCATGGATTCACCGTGCGGGTGCCGGGTCCATCGCGTTGCAGGGGGAGGAGCTTCAACAGTGCCTGGGACTTGCGACCCAAGTGTAGGTTTAAGGGGCCCCTTAACTAACGCGCGTTATACGCTCACCTCCACTGTCCAAGCTCCTCTCCCTACCTAACCAAATTTGAAAAGAACCTACTAGGGCTGCCTTCGATGTACGTTCCAAGAATGCATTAATGTGAGTTCTGGACAAGCCCAAGTCCTATAGCAGGTTATAGAGAGATTTCGCTGTTATACCTCTCGCTCCCACCTCTACCGCGTACAAATCTACTACGAACCTATTTCGAGTGAGTTCGTTTGTGAGCTCGTAATATTTGTTGACCTTGATGGTATGGTCTTTGGGGATGTTGGTTTCCCAAGGGACCGTAAGCTCTATCATCACTACGCGCTTTAAAATTCGCGAAAACAAAATACGTGTCCATCATTATAGTCCAATCCGACGCCGCTTTAAGGATGGAGTAAGGCTTGACGTTTGATTTTGTAGCCCTAGAGCCTTCTCTCACAAAACCTACTGATCGTTCGTTTGTGGTTATTCCCTTTTGCGCTCTGGCTACCGAAAGACTAACCGCTTCACGTATGACTTCTAGAACCCTATCGTGACGACGCGAGTATTGACCGCTGTCAAGGAGTACCTTACATCCCACCAGCAGATGCTTAGCAGTTCCAACTGCCTTTCCACAGATATAGCAAGTTTTTTCGGTACTTTTACCCCATCTTACTAAATTACTCTGATCTGGGAGAGTCATCTGGAACGCATTGAGATAGAATTTTAGCAATGCTGGCGACCAATCATAAATTAAAGTGCGCCATTTTAATGCTAATGGGATGCAAAAATCTCCTATGTCTAACCACTCGTTCTGCATTTCTAAATTCATAGCATGGATCTTATATTTATCATTCTCGTCTTGCCGAATAAAAGACTTCAATATATCCGCATCTTGGACTTTCCTATTTGATCCTAACCCCGCTCTGTTACTTTGCGCTCCTATCATAAATTGCTTATGGAATTGAAGTCGTGACTCTAGCTCGGGGGCATCTTCATCTTTTGGGAGCGATGTCACTATGTCATCATGGGATTTCCCCAGGATATATCTCTTGGAAACTCTTAGGTGTTTATAGAGCTCCGATGGCCTTTTTAGACTCATCCCAAAACTATTGCTTCCCCTAAATAACGCCGATGAATCAGCCGTTAGAGCGAGCCCGAGCCACAACTTCAACATCTTTATGACGCCTGCATCTAACTTTGACAAAAGGGTTTTATTAAAATCATAGACGAGGAAAGGCCAATTCAAACGTGAAGTTAAGTAATTCTCGTAGATCCACGCTTTTTTGACGTTACTTATCAGTTGGCTATCTACCTTGTTAAGATCGTTCAAAAAGCTATCTACTATTCCTTCTAAAGATGGAGTACGGCCTATATTATCTATCTTACGACCGAGAAATTTAAATGGTGCATTTTCCGTAACCGTAGAAATGCATTGACCGCCTAACGATAGTCCCGGATCGTATGAGGTGTATCTTGTATTCCGCCTACCAAGACACAGACAGTGACATTTACTGGGTTTTGTCCTCAATCCATCCGTCCACTCACAGAATTTATCCACTTCATCCAATAGTACCTGACAGTGTTTGGGGTTACGTGTCAGTATTGCGAGATCGTCAGCGAAGGCTAAAATGGATTCCGTGTATTTATTATTAAACTTAAACCGATAACCCCATTTTTTCTCGTTACAGATTAATTTGTCTACTAAGATGTTAATAACGATATTAAACGCAATTGGAGATAGACAACAACCTTGAAACAGTCCTACATTATAACTCAAACTTTTTGAAGGGCCTTCTTTAGTTATTATAGAAAACCTTAATTTTGAGTAATACGACGCGATCATATCTCTAACTAGGGGTGGAAAGTTATTATTATTTTATATTTTATGTATCTTTTAAATATATTTTATTATTTACTAGAAGACCCGGCGAACCTTGTATCGCTCTATAATCAAGAAATATCTGTTACGTTTTTTTATTTATATTTTTGGAGTTTACCTTTAAGCCATAAATCTTAGTGTTTTGAAGTGCGGCAGAATGATTGACTTATTAGTTAGTTGTGAAATCTACTGTCAAAAAAAAAACGTTTGTATGTCAAATAGAAAAGGGCTGTTTTTAGGGTTTTCCCGGAAATGAATAATTTTTTTTAAATTTTTAATCCTTCCCTGAACCTCCACGAACATTTAAAGACTAAGATAAGATAAATCCGTTCAGCCGTTCTCGAGTTTTAGTGAAACTAAAGAACAGCAATTCATTGATATATATATATATATATATATATATATATATATATATATATATATATATATATATATGTAGATAAATTTATCATGTAAAGTTTTTGATATCTTTCTTAATACATCGAAGAAGTATTTAATAAGATAATTTGTAGAGTAACTATTTAAGAAATCAATCAAAATATGAAATTACTACTTTTACTTCATGATAGTAATAAAAGCAAATTAACTCTCAAGAGTCCGATATCGTTAAAATGTTTCTGAATCTTAGCGAACATTTACTTTTCTAATGTTATATAACAAATTTACTAACAAAGTTAGCTTCTCTTTAAGTGACATCAATGTAAAAAGTTGTATAGAAACGTTGTTTTCTTTGTATTTGAAAACTTTTTATGGGCTGTTCGAAATAAAAAAATAATATTACATTAAATTCCTTTCAACGCGCTTTTTATAATAGAACTTATATTACAATTTTGACACCTTCTCCTAAATTTTGTTGGATTTATTAAAAAAAAACATCATTTATTAACACATTCAACTAACCCCTTCTTGATGTTGTTTCTTTTTTTCTATACATGTGGTGTGGATTAATTGAAGTATTCTTTATTTTAATATATTGTTACTAATACTTTCAATTGTGATTGCGATGGAAATGTTGTATTAAATTATAACTTTATAGTGTTAAGGAATTTAAACATATAAGAGGAAATTTATTGGATTATATTTGTATTGTAATTATTATTAATTTACTTATATACTTGGTTTTACTTCCTGTTACCTAAATAATTGAAATGTATTACAACAATGAATTCTTTCTTTCGTGATATACTTACAAGTATAACTTACGCGATAGAAGAGGGAACGAGAGGTATAACAGCTAAAGCTCTTTAGAACCTACTAAAAGATTTGGACCTGTCATGAACTCACATTAATTCATTTTTGGAACGTACGTGGTGTCGTAGGCAGCCCTAGTAGGTTCTTTTCAAATTTGGTTAGGTAGGAAGAGGAGCTTGGATAGTGGAGGTGAGCGTATAACGCTTGTTAGATAAGGGACCCCTCAAACCTACTCCTGGGCCGTAAGTCCCAGGCACTGTTGAAGCTCCTCTCCCTGCAACGCAATGGACCCGGCACCCGCACCATGAATCCATTGAATGCTAAGAGGTTTCGTCTCATATTCATACATGTTACAATGTCTGTCCCATAAATTAATGGTCCAAGAATTAATTCATTATCTACTCGTATGTTCTTATCAAGTTGAATCTGAATATAGTTGATCCTGGTATCTGGTATAACTATCAACACAATTTTGAACCTCTACTTAGTTATTCAAAGCGTATTATTTACAATTCTTATTGCAATATATAGTATAACATGAAATTAATAATTCCATAATATTCTGGACAGGTAAATATATATTCAATGTTTTGGTTGTATTAATAAATGAGTGTTAATGTTTTATAACGTTATTTTTTACATGGTATGGCTTCGGTCGTAATGGAATTAGGACGAACTATAATCTTGAGTGTTGATTAAGTATTAAGGAGTTTACCAAATGGAAAAAAGGCATAAATATAATTATAATAATATTTTTTCCAGCACCTAGAACAGCCTTAAAATGTTATTATCTGGAATTTTGGAGATGACACGTAACACACTTTGATGACTGAAATCCAAAACCATATGACGTCACTACACTTTAATAAATATAGAAATGAACATTCTAGGAAAATAAACTTTTACTTAACAATGCTTTTTGTAATCCAGCAGCATTAATAAATTAAAAATCAAATTGTATAGATAACTAAAATCTTTAAATGTAGTGATTCTTTTAATATCTATTAAATCATAATACATATGTACAATGTCTGAACATTGGATCCAATCAAAAGCAGTTAAATATTATGTTAATATAGATACAAATATTCAATAACTTTTAATTATCTTTGAGTACGTAAAATAATTTCCTATAATACTCAACTTAAGATATTCAAGTGGTCAGAATAACATTTAGTTAAAAGCTAGCACTAGGAAATATAACAGTATATATAACTATTCAGTAAGAATGTTGAAATGAAATTCCGTTAGATACAGAGAATCTTATCCCAAATAGCTTTTGTTTCAGGAAAGAATGTATTTAAATTGTTATACTTTAGTTGGAAGTAAAATAAATTACGGTTTTTTATATACCAAATACATTTCGATTTCAAATACTTAATAAACTAAGTATTAAAAAAATAAAAATGGACTTTTTCCAATTTTTCACAAACAAAACAGATTGAATAACAGTCGGTAATAAGGCTTCTGTTTATACTTAACAAAAAATAATGGAATTTGAATGTATTTGCATTACATTAAGGAGTTTTTGCAATTACGATTATATCATTATTATATACTTTGGATCTACTAATATTCGTCTAATGACGTATTTTGACCTTACAGAAATGTTGAGCACACACTTGTGTTAAAGTTGCAAAATATCAATTCGTGTTAGGGGCTTTAATCTTTTTTATGAGGAAGGTAACAAAACGGGCTAATGACCTACTTGATGTGAGGTGGTCACTGTCATCCGTGATCATCCGCAACGTAAAACTAATTGTTACTATTGTCTAATTGTCTAATTTGTTTGATGTGCGGTGGCTGTGGTTATTGAACCAAAGCTTTTATTTTATTCTCACTTGTCATTACCTAACCATGATAACCACTAATTCTACCAACATATTCAACTGCTGGAATTTAAAATGTACACTTTAGAATGTTAACTGAAAAGCCAGCACAGGTAATTGTCTTTAAAATGGAATCTTATAACTTTAAAACGGCGACCGGAGAGACACAATCAAATTAAAAAAAAAAAAGAAAAGAAAAGCGTGTAGTGATAGGACAAAGAATACGAAGGAACGTGATACACCTGACACGAGTGTAAATCATTTCATGATGAAAATATGCTTAGTGAAGACCAGACAATTTATAAATAATAATAAATTGCAGTCTAATGAGTAGCGCGGAGCAGAACGGGGACGTGCGTCGCTCTAGGCGGGGTAGTAGTGAGCCAGTGACTAGTTATACTTACATGTAGGACCAGGGATCCTACAGTTACAAAAACACTTAAATTGAACTTTAAGGGGCGAGAAGTTAGTGAAGGGTATTAATAAGTTACAAACATAATAATGTTATTGCGTCGTTACTTTTCAAGTATTAGAATTCTAAATATTTCTGAAACATTAGAAGAAAATCAGTCTTTATTTCTTGGGCATTCACAAAAATAAACCTTCTGTATATTCTTCTATATTATTTCTTCTGTAGTACAGTTACTATAAATTCTTTATCATGACTATCTCAACTTCTTTAGCGTTACTCTTCCTATAATCACTTAAACTCCCTGTTGCAAAATTAAGAAAAAATAAAATTAACAAAGGAATAGTATAGGAAAAATAGAGTTTTGTCCAATTATATTGTCCAGACATAGCGTTTTGGGATTGACTTAATACTTCTAATGAAGAGATACTCATTACTACTTACGAGAAATGTAAATTTATTGATTACAGTCATTTGAAATAAATCAAATATGAAGTAATTTTATTATA